CTTCGCAACTTTGATCGCAGTTGAAGTAAAGCTTTGAGGGACTGCATGTTTTGCGCGTGCAGCAAACCCCCATTAGTTGTCTCAGCTAAGAACCCACGCTGGATCAGTAAACGTGGGAGTGGTCTCATGGCAAACACTATCAGTTGGGGTAGCAAAAGCATCATGGTTTTCATAGCTGAACCTCCTACTGTCTGCCTTAGCTAATTTAAAATTTTTAGCCACGGCAATGAGGGTTTTGTTTTTTAGCTAAGATAATGACTGCGGTAGCTGAGAACATTAGCTGGCGCCATATCAGCTAACACATAAGCTGTCACAACGAATGCTCAGCTGTAAAAACTAAGATATTTTTTCCGTGCGGGAATCACTTTTTTGGGGAGCGATAGCGAGCGCCGTGTTTGGGGGTACCAAAAAGTGCTGGTCGTCGTCGTCTGTCTGTCTGTCTGTCTGTGTGTCGTAACTCACTCACGTTTTTCAGCAACTACCGCACAAATAGTTTCAAAATTTCGCACCGGAAGGCTCCTAAATCTCCCCCAGGGGGGGTTTATCTTATATTCACGATTACTATTGTTTGAAATATTCAAAACATCTTTTTGAATTAGGTTTTTAGCGTGGTTAGGTTTGGGAGTGCTTTGGGAGCTCGTAGCAATTTTTCATACTTGCGGCCGCGACTCTTAAAACGGGACCTGTCAAAACATTGGCAAATAAAACAAACTAAAGAGCAGAAGGGCTTAGAAGTGAGTACGGTCATAGTTTTTCGATATTTAGAATGATTTAAACCCCTCCGGAGAGTCAACTCAGTGAAATACGGGAAAAAGAAAGTGACAATTATTTCGCGTTTCGTCCCTCCGTCCACCCTCTCCCCCCCCCCCCACAGGGGAAAAGTTTTAGTCAGTGGAGTGTGTTTGAAATTGCAAGAATGATTTGGTCTTTTTAAACCCTTTTTGAGTGCATTTCCATTTATATTCCAGACACTATATTTTCAGTTGTTTGCTTTGCTCAATAACAGTTAGAAAATATATTAATACATTCTATGAGTACAAAAACCCGATGCTAATCTTTCCAAAAAAAATAGTCTTTGCTGACTCTTGGCTTGATTCTGGGAAAAGGCTTTATTGCAAAGCTGTCAGTTTACTATAGTACTAACCTTAAAGAAAACCCTATGATATCCGGACGTTAGCGGCGCATACCGGACCCACCTTGCAA